CGGGAAGAGCGCAATGATGGTGCCAACTTGGGCCAGTGAAGCAACGTCCTCCACAACTAGATTGAAGAACAAAACGACAGCAACTTGTCTGTTTCCCTTCCCCCAAATCCCCAGCGCTGTTCTCATCCCCTAGTTCCCCAATAAAAATCTTTAAAAAATAAAATAAAATTACGAGTATATTTGAGTTTGGAATACATTTTTAACTTTTAAATGTGTCAGTCAAAATTTAAACACCTAACTCTCTTACATTTCTGAGCTACACACTTAATTTAATCTCCCAGACCCAGACCTAGGTAGGGCTGTTTCAGCTCATATGTTAGAGTGAGGTGGGGATACCTTTGTGCTAACGTTGGTAAAAAAACAAAACAAAAAAAACCAAAAACACGCTTTTTCAACAGGTTATTGCTTGGTGGTTATTGGCTCTAATATGATGACCATATGCATTATGGAGTTCATTTTTTAACCTGCAGCTTTGTATTCTGATGAGGTCCTCTTAAGCTGTGGAAAATAATTTGTTTGGATGTATAAATGCAGCTTTCTTTGAAGACAGTATAATTTGGATCATGTTTATAGTTCCATGAACTCAGTTGGGTTATGTTATATACCCAACATAAGTTTACACATGCAATTCCATTGCCCCCAGGGAATATTAAAACAGCAGCCTGAATCAAGTTATCTAGACCTAAAATTTTTTTGTGTTTTTATCAGAAAGCAATTAATTTTAATGCAGAAGTTCTTTTTAGATTTCTACGCTTCAACAAGATGTCATTTTTCTGATAAAAAAATACTTTCAAAGCCAAGCTTTTATCTTAGAAATGCTTTTCAATAGCAATGATGATTAAAACTATCAACAGTAGATAGGACCCTATAAATACACCAGCTAATTATTTGTTCTTGCCAATGTATGAGATATAATTACTATTGTTTAGAATGCAGAAGTTCTTAAAAACAGTATACATCCTAAGTATCAATCTTGATACTATCAAATTTTAAAATGTAGTAAGTTATCTGAAATACACAAGCCCAGGAAAGGAATTCAATAACTTATTAGATATGATGTATACTGTGGGGTAAATATTCATTGGCACACATTAGGAAACTACCACATCTTTAAGAAACAAAAAGTTCAATAGCCCCCATGATAAGGAGAGGTTAGAGTGTTTAAGAACAAAAAGAACAAGAATGCCAGTTATACCTAGAAACCATAAGCTGACAGTTCTTTGCAGGCTGTTCAGTCTCCTTTTGATGCTGTTCACTGAACCAGAATGGGCAGCGTGGAGCATTGATGGGTAACAAAATGGGCAGATTAGTTTGCCTCATCTGAGAACTGGTGGGAATAGCTGAGCACATCCCTCAGCCTGGGGAAATGGTGTGAGATATTGAGGAAGTTAAGGAATCTGCAGCAGCAACAGTGGTATCTGGGGCTTCAAGGAAGCAAGGGTAAGAAAAGCAAGACCAGAGGGTTAAGCACCCACCTGCACCTCTGCTAATTAGTGGCACACACCGCTTCGGTTGGTTGTGAAATGGACTTAGTGTTTACAGGTATAAAAAGCAAATCATAGCAGTAATAATAACAAGAACAAAAATGGAGAATGTGGCTATAATTGATGGTGAAAATAATAGGCATTTCCCTCTCCTTTCTGGGAGTGGGGGCAGTGAGGGAATCATACTCTATGTCACCTTTCAGAGCAATTTTACGTTGAGTTCCGAAACAGGTAATAGGGGCTTGACTTAGAGCTGAGTTGTAACTTGTTCTTCCTGTCCATCACCCCATTTGTGCATCAGCAGGTCACAAGCCTCTCCCCAAGTTTCAAATACATCCTCTGAGGAATCTAAAAGTTTAGAATTTGAGGAGCAGATGCTGGATACGCAGTGCAGAGAGCTGGAACAGGCCAGTGGGCATTCACTGCTCTGAGCAAGGCCCTGGGCTTCACCTAATGCTACCTCACTGAGGTTAATTTCGCTTTGAGAACAGGCCTCTGCTCTCCCTTTCTCCATCTGAGAATATCTGATGTCCTGCCACATATAGTGCTGCTGAGCAATTCCATCAGAAATTGTGTACATTGGCTCTGAACTGGGTTCAGACATATGACCATTAAATTTGGAGAATAGGAGACCCAGTTTCTTCAGAGAAGAACCCATGAAGGAGCGTTGGCTTGATGACTCAGCGTTTGACTTCCCTTGGGCACCACTGTCTCTTGGCATGGTTCTGATGAGAGGTGTCCCATGGCAGGCCTTTTTCTTGCAGGCTAAATTGAAAGAGACACTCTTGGATTTGGCCCGAGCCCCACCACTGCCATCATTAGTATCATCCCTCTGAGACAGTTCAGCGCTGCTGGTGGAAAAGCTCCTCCTTGGGTGTTTCCTATTTCCTAAGAGGTCAAGCACTTCATATCGAAAGCTGGAGATGTCCTGCTTTAATTCCTAGGGCAAGAGAGAAGGCGCATTATGTTAGGAAGCTTGGTCGTAGTTCAAAATAGGCACACTGGGCATCCTTTGGAATGTTCCAGGTTTTGCCTAATAGCAAATCACAAAGAACCTGAACTACCAGAAAAATCTCACATTATTCCAGCACAAGAAGAACATATTAATAATTTTGTGGGCAGGGCTGGAAATTAGAAAAATGGTACAATTGGTAAAGTTTATTTCAGAATCACTGCATCAGGAGCACACCAACAGACTAGCCCCTGCTCAAGCATTAACTGACAATTAAAGTATTAGATTAGGGCACTGGCCTCATAGGTCTAGGCATCTACATATAAAAGCGCTCCTGAAGAGGAAACGCTTTTAGGACTCTAAGGAATAAAACTAGGGAAGTGGAATGTGTCAGGTGATGAGGCTGCTATTTTTTTTGTGGGGGGTGGGGGTTTGGGGGTGGTGGTGGTGTGGGGGGAGCCCTGTTCATTCAAGTTCCTGTGAAATGTCTTCTGTCTCTAACTGACTGCCTGGATACTAGATTACTCTTTTAAAAACCATCATTTAAAAGCTTAAATCTGATCATGTCACTCCCATGCTTAAAATTTTAGTAACTTGTCGCTGACCGTAGGAAAAAGTAGAAACTCCATACCATGGACTACAAGGTTTTTCAGGGCCTGGTATCTGTCAGTCTCTCTGGTTTCCTTTCTTCCTACTCTCCCCATGCGCTCTACCATCTACTTGTATAGACATATTCCCTCTTGCCTCTGGGCCTTTTCCTGTGCTGTTCTCTCTGTCTAGAACATGCTTCTCCCCAACTTTCCCTTATCTGGCTCCTCCTTCAAGCCTCAGCTTAAAACATCGCTTCCTCAGGAATATCTGCCCTGACTTCCCAAGTCCCAGTTTAGTGTCCCTCTTCTCTGTGTCTCCACAGCACCCTGTGTTTATCCTGTTAGAATACTTATTTGTCACCTTCTATTATTATTTGTGTCTCACTCCATGAGAGTAGGGGCTGACTATATCTTGCTCACCACTGTACTCCAGCACCCAGTGGAGTGCCTGGTACATAGCAGGCCCTCGATAGATGAGTTGTACCTGTGGATTAGGATAACGGCCTTCCTATGTTCCTTCATGTGTTTTAGCATAGGGTTTCTCAACTACTTGACATGTTGAGCTGGATAATTCTTCGTTGTGGGACTAGCCTGTGTATTGTAGGATGTTTGTAGCAACCTTAGTCTCTACCCACTAGATGCCAATAGCACACACATCCCAGTGTGACAACCGAAAATGTCTCCAGACATTGCTAAATGTGCCCTGGAGGACAAAATTGGCTGGGGTTGAGAACCTCTGTTTTAGGCTAATGCTGGTACTGGGAAAATTCTAATGTTGACTGGTAGGGTTTCTTAAATCTTAGATTTAATAATATATTTTTTGGGTCTTTATCTTACATTCTTTGAAGTAAAGAGGGCCTTTAAATCTCCAGCCATCTTCCCTTTGCTATCTTTCCCCTCACCACACATACTTGCTACAGAATTTGAAACACTTAATTCCCACATTGAGAAATACCTAGAATATGAAAAGAATGCATAGGGCAGATTATTTTGTTCATAAAGCTGGTTGTGGTGACAGACATTGGTAAAATCTCTCCACCTACTGGATGACAGACTATTCCAAGTCAGAGAATAAACATTGTAGCTGGTTTTGCTGTTTTACAGGCACCTGAAACTTTATCACCAGAAACCACAAACAGCGTAAAGATTACATAATACTGAAGAAATGTGAAATGAAAAATTAAACCACTTCATGATAAATTACCTTAAAATTCTCTTCTGTTAGCCCCTCGTTTGTTTTGGAATTTCTTATCATAGCAGCCACATATCTTTTGACTAAATTCCTGATAACTTCCTGGAATTAGAAACAAAACAAAACATGAAGAGGCATTCAGTTTCCTTCTTGGGCACTCAGTAAAATAAGAAACATACACTGGTAATAAAATATGCTTGGATCGTCTGATAACTTCCTAGAATTAAAAAACAACAACAACATGAAGAGGCATTCAGTTTCCTTCATGGGCTCTCAGCAAAATAAGAAACATACATGCGTAATAAAATATGCTTAGATTGTCTTTGCAATAGAATATCCTCCCAGGATCCTGCCATTTTCTGCAAAAACCCTAACCTAAGTCCACTGGCTAAATGAAGAAATATTATGTGTCCAAATTTGGTGGCAGAGTGGGTCAGCAGGAACAAATTCACCCGAAAGGAAAATTTTCCACCTAAGCATAAGGCAAACATGGATTCACATTTATAGAATAATGACAACGGAGTAATCCTTGAATGGTCGTAGTCAATATCCTTTCCCCTCAGGCTGGATTAAACTTTAACCTTCCTGGGCTGGCCGAATGGCTCAGTTAGTTAAGAGCTCTTTCAAGAGTTTGAGCTCTGAGCAACAGCGCTTCGATTCCTGGCCCGAGCTGAACTGCCGCTGAGCTGCCAACAGGTGGCAGGATGGCTCAGCTAAAAAACCCCAAACAAACAAAAGAAACAAAAAAAGCGCTTTAACCCTCCTAGTAAGAGGAGAGTTTTGTTTCCTTTTATAAAGCTGAGAAAGCCA